GGGCTGGCTCCTGGCCCCAGATCAGCTTTGGCCCTCAGCTCGTCGCTGGCAGGGAGCAGGCGGGAGGCCCAGGAAAGGGAACAGGGCTGCCCGCCCACCCGCCTGCACCGGGTGTATAAGGGGGCTGGGCACGCGTGGCCCGCCAGCAACTGCAGAGCCCGCCCGCCAGGCCAGGCTCCTGGACACTCCCTTCCCGCCGCCTTCCTCCTCCCACTTCCCTCCTCCCTTCACAGTCCTCCAGCTGCGGATCCACAGACGCTATCAAGACCCGAGTAAGTGTGGGCCCCAAAAGGGAGGGTGTGCTGACCCCTGTCTTGGAGTATCGCCTGGAGTGTGGCTGCCTTGATACTTCGTGCTGGTCCCTGCTCCCCAGTCCTCCACAGCCCCAGATACACAGAAACCCAATCCTGTCCTTTGCCGAGGACCCAGGAGTCCAGGACCCGTTACCCCACCCCACAGAAGTCCTGCTTCCTGCTCTTCAGCTTTCCCACCCTAGGGGATGCAGGAATCCTGGTCTTCTGTCTTGGCACATATAAGAATCTCCCTTTCTACCTCTCCTAAGAACCAAGGCTCTAAGCCCCACCCCTGGCCCCGCAAAAATCCCAGAAATCTGTGGTCCTTGGCTCCCACACCCCTTGGTAACCAGAATGTAGAAGTCTAAGTACCCAGTTCCTCCATCTTCAGATCCAGGAGTGTGCTCGAACCTTGCTCCTCACTACTTGTTGGAAAGTCTAGATTTTGCTCTTGGGCCTCCTGCACCGGGGGTCCGAGGGGTCTCCAGAGACCTCCTTCCGGTAGAGCCCTGCTCCTCCTCGCCTGGCTCTCTGCCTGCAGGCCTCTTAGGCTCCTTCATCTTCTGTCCAGTCTCGGCTCCAGATCCGTGGATCTCAGCCTCAGGCCCCGCTGCTCTGGCCCACACCCCAGTCTCTCCTTCGCCTTCTGCCCCCTTCCTCTTCAGCCCTGGGGTCCTGCATCCTGAGTCAGAATACGGCCTGTGGAAGTCTCCCAAGAAGGTGAGTCTTAAGATTGGAGTGCCAGTAAGTCCTCCTGAGAGTCTAGCCTTACTCTTCCTTGCTGCTAACATGCTTTTTGCTCCTCTCTGATCCTCCCAAGCAGACCTCATACTTTTTTTCACAGGGCTCTGGGGCAGTAAGGTGGGTGCAGAGCTGAAGATCTAACATCCTACCTGCTTTAACAGGAGTCTTTTAAGATCACCCAACGTTGGAAGAAACCCAAGCCCAAGGGGAACTTGACCTACCACCAATACATGCCCTCAGAGCCAAGACAAAGGTCTAGGGGAGACCCCCTGGCAGAGGAGAAGGCCCTGGGACCCCCAGGACCACCCCTGTGGGAAGGGACAAACTCACGGCAACCATCCCCTAGGTATGTGCTCTCCCTGTTTCTGTTCTCTTGGGACTCCACCATCCTCTTCCTTCAAACCAAGTTCAAGACTAGGGGCCTGCCAGCCCTTCCCCCATCCCCTCCTCAAGAGAACTCAAGAGTCTGAGAGCCTAGGACCCCAAAGTCCAGACCACCCTGCTCTCCAGGAACCCAGGAGTCAAGCCCACAAGTCTCCCCCTGCAAATTCCGGGAGTCTGAGCCCCCAGTTTGTTCTGCCAAGACCAGGAATCTTCCCTGTGTTTGCCGCCTGAATTTTAGCTTTTCAGAATCTTTCCCCAAAGTCGTTGATCCTTCTTCTCCATCTAACCTCTGTTCCGCCTCCGGACTGTCGCCAGGATGAAGCCTATTCCCACGACTCCCTCTCCACCCGGAGCCCCCAGTCCCTCGCCCCCGCCACACAAGTTGGAACTTCAGACCCTTAAGCTGGAGGAACTAACGGTGAGTGTGCGGAGTAACTGACTGCCCGTGTGAACCATCATCGGAAAGCAGAGTCCGGGTTACTCAGTTACATCGTTTTCCGGGTCCCAGGAGTGGGCTTCCAAATGCCCACGCCCAGGAGCCTGCCTAGTACACCTCTACCGGTTCCCCACCCCAGGTCTCAGAGCTCCGGCAGCAGCTGCGCCTGCGAGGCCTCCCAGTGTCGGGGACCAAGTCTATGCTCCTGGAACGCATGCGCGGCGGCGCTCCGCCCCGTGAGCGGCTGAAGCCACGGCGCGAGGACAATCCCGCGGTGGCTCCCTGGCCCCGCCTCAGGCCCAAGGCCCTTGGAGCCGCTCGGCGGCAGGCCCCGGTGAGGGCGGGACCTGGGGCGGGGCTATAAACTTGTGGACCGGGCAGTTGGGAAACGAGCAGCCAATGAAGTGTGGGGGGTGCGGCCTAGCGGCGGGAAGCCGTTGAAGTCGGGGGAAGCGGTTCAGAGCAAAGCGGGCAGGTACAAATGCAAAGAACTGGGAGCACAGCCAAAGGCGAAGGAACGAGGGAAGGACCGGGAGAGGGGCGGGGCCACGTATCAAAGAGGGTGTGGTTACACATAATAGGCGTGGTTTATAAGAACAGCGCTTTCCTCGCGGATCTAGTTCAAGTCTGGTCCAGTGTCCGGCCCGCCGCCTCTTCCGCGAGCCCCGGACACCCTAGTGGCGGCCCCGGCTCCTGCTTCGGCCCTGACCCCTTCCTCAGCGCCAACGTCTGCGGCAATGACCCTGGAGGAAGAGCTGCAGGAAGCGATCCGGAGAGCGCAGGTGAGAGGGAGTGGGCCCAGGCGGGGTTCGGTCTCGAGTCTGACTCAGGTTGCAGTCTCAGGTTTATGTCGCTTCTACCCATCTGCAGCTGCTTCCGAACCGGGGCATCGATGACATCCTGGAGGATGCGGTGGAGCCTGAGGGTAAGAACCGAACTCCTGCTCTGAGGAGGGAGGGGACCGAGAATCTGAACTGGGTTTGAGCGTGTAGGGGGCTGAGGTTCTGGACTCCAGGTCTGAGAGGACGGGCCAGACTCCTAGGTTTGAGGGAGGAAGCGGCTGAGGTTCTGGACTCTTGCTCCAAGGGAAAAGTCGGCTGAGGACTGATTCCTGCCCTCCTCAGCTCACCTTCCATTCCTTCCTCCGCAGACCCGCTACCCCCCATCCCCCTGGACTTCCCTGGCTCCTTCGATGTGCTGTCCCCATCTCCGGACTCTGAAGGCCTCTCATCTGTCTTCTCTTCTTCACTCCCTTCCCCCACGAACTCCCCAGCCCCTGCTCCCAGGGGCCCTATGGACTCTTTGGACTGGTTGGAGGCACTGAGTGGAGGTCCCCCACTGGGCTGCGGGCCCCCAACCCCCAGCATCTTCTCTGCCGACTTCTCTGACTCCAGTGGTACCCGGCTGTGGGACCTACTGGAGGGCCCATGGTGATGGAGTGTGGGGTATCTAGAGACCAGGAACTGGTGAGGAGGATAGGAAGGTCTTGGAGGAGAGCTTCCTTGAGGGGACAGCAAAGGTGCCACCACGCTGCTCCTCCCAACGCAAACAGGACCAGAGATAATGCCCTCATCACCTGAACTCTAACCTTTGCCTGCCTGACCTCCAGTTGGAATCTCCCCTCATGGATGTGTGGTTTGGGGTTCACTGGCTGCTGACCAGAGCAAATAAGGTGCTTACTGGTTCCTTCCGAAACCTCCTGGATGTTTTCATTCCCTCCCCCACCCTCTGACCACTTGGCTGGCTGTGTCTGGGAACCGGGAAAGGTGCCTCTGCTTTTCGAATGCAAGAGAAGGACAGGGAGGAGTGAAGAGGGAGAAGTGAGTCAGACTCCTGAGTTTTGTTGCTGTTGTTAGGTGCAGTAGAATCCATTCTGATTCATGAGCACCCCGTGGTGTGGTGTGTGTGGAGGAGAACTGTGCTCCATAGGGTTTGCGAGGCTGTGAACTTTCAGGAGCAGATCTCTAAGCCTTTCTGCCGAAGCACCTCATATTATGAGATATTGAGTAGATTTCTATTCATAGCAACCGTATAGGACAGAGTAGAACTGCCCCGTAGGTTTTCCAAAACTGTAAATCTTTATGGGAGCAGACAGTCTCCTCTCTCCCACAGAGCAGCTGGCAGGTTCTAATTGGCCAATATTCAGTTAGCAGCTGAGCACTTTGCTCATTGTGCAGGCTCCATGAGGCATTTCTAGGTGGGCTCAGACTCAAGCTGTCAACTTTTTGGTCAGTAGTTGAGCACTTTCCCTTTTGTGCCATCCATGGTTGGTGGGTTTGACATCCCACCTTGTGGTTCAAATCAACCTTGCAGTCAGTCCAGTGCTTATCCTACAGCACCATACTTCTGTAACGGAACGGGGGAAACAGGACAGCAAACGGGAAGAAGATGAGCAAGTGCGTGACTTTTAGGTGAGGTTCCCGCCTCCACCTGACCTTGTAGGGATCTTGGGAGCATAAATTACATGTACCTAGACCCTTTCCCACCTTGAGGCAAAGGGAACTGTGCTTTTGAAAACTCTCAATCTGTTTCACTGTTGTTGAATAACAAACCATACCCAAACTCCAGAATCTCAAACCAGCATCTGTCATCTGTCACAAGTCCATGGGCGGATTGAGCTCAGCTGGGCGGTTCTTCAGCTTCATGGGATGTTGTTAAGTTCCGTGGAGTTGATTCCAATTCACAGCGACCCTGAACAGGGTTTCCAAAGAGCGGCTGGTAGGTTTGAACAGTCAACCTTGTGGCTAGTAGTCCAGGGCTTATCCTACAGCACCACATTAGGATGTTGGCTAGGGCTATAGAACTCTAGTTACCCAGCCGGACTGGAACATCCAAGATGGAGCAATCAGACATGTCTGGTACCTTGATGGGGATGGCGAGAAGACTGGGTTTCTGGGGAGTTTGGACTTGTTCTCTAGTAGGCCCTGGTCTCTCCACCAGGTTATATCGACTTCTTACTTGACAGATGAAGGCTCTCAGCAGCAGACATTTCAATGGAAAGAGGCAGAAGCTACCAATCTCCTAAAGACAAGGTCACTTTCCCCGTATTCCATTAGTTAACGTAAATCAGAGGAGCCCAGATTGAAAATGGGAGGGGACTACCTGAGGGGAATCCCTGGGTGGCACAAACAGGTAAGTGCTTGGTTGCTAACTAAAGGGTTGGTGATTCAAACCTACCCTGAGGTACCTTGGAAGATGGCCCTAACAATCCACTTCTGAAAGGTCCGAGTCCTTGAAAACTTTATGGAGTGAAGTTCTATTCTTCAAAAGTGGGGTTGCCATCAGTAAGAATCAACTCAGTGGCAATTCCTCCGCCCCCTGTGGGTTAATGAGCTGGACTGCAAAGTGGGTTTGAACCACAAGGTTCACAGTTCAAGCTCACTAGCTGCTCCTCAGAAACCCTATATACAGGGTCACTATGGGTCAGAACTGATTTGATGGCATTTAACAGCAACCACACAGGGAAGAGCTCTGGTAGCTTAGTGGTTACGAGGGGCCCCTGGAGAGTTGGGTGGGCTGCTACCTCAAGGTCAGCAGTTCGAAACTACCAGTCATTCCATGGGAGAAAGATGAATCTTTTTGCTCCTGTAGAGATTTACAGCCTTGGCAACTTTAAACAGGGTCACTATGAGTCGGAACCGACTCCAGGGCACATTACCACCACACAAGGGTGGGAATGCTTGAAGGCATAGTTGTTGGAGGACAATTGTTGGAGATTTGCCACTATGCCCTTGTATTAGTTTTCTGGAGGCCAGAAATCCAAAATCAAAGCATTGGTGATTCCATGCTTCCTCTGGAGCCTGTAGGGGAAGACCCTCCAGTTTCCCGTGGTTCTCAGTGTCCCTTGGCTGTGGCAGCAACACCCCCATCTCTGTCTTTGTTGTCACACGGCGCTCTTCCTGTGTGTCTGTGACTCTTCTTTCTTATAAAGACGCTGGTCATTGAAGAACCACCCAGCTGAGCCTGATCTCTCCACAGACTCTCTTCTTAACTGATAACATCTGAAGTGTCCCTACGTCTGTTCTCTAGCGCTTCTACTACAGACACAACAGTGGGTGGCTTTAAACACAGAAATGTATGTTCTCACAGGTCCGAGGTTAGAAGCTGGAATTCAGAGCTCGGTTCTACAGGTAGGTTCTTTCTGGTCTGTGTAAGCTTTCAGGAGTTGCCAGCAATCTTTGGTGTTTCTGAGCTTGTAGATAGCTCTGTCTCCATTATCTGTCTTCCTGTTTCCCCTGTGTAGGTTTAGAACCCACCCTACACTCATGTGAGCTCAGAAACATGACAAAAAAGGAACCCTTGTCAGGGTTTCTGAGGAGCAGCTGGTGACCTTGAACCCTATATAGGGTCGCTATGGGTCGGAACCGACTCCACGACACTTCTCAACAACAACCCACTGCCATCAGAGCCCTGGTGTAGCACTTTCAGTTAATGCCCTGCAGTCCCTTTGAAACGCAAGGTCAGCAGGTCAAGCTCATCACCTGCTCCTATACAGGGTCGTTATGGATCGGAACGGAGTCGACAGTACTGGCACTTCACAACAACAACCCAGGGCCATCAAGTCCATTCGGACTCACAGTGATTCTATAGGACAAGGTAGAGCAGCTTATAGGGTTTCTAAGACTGGAAATCTCTGTGGAAGCAGATTTCCTCATCTTTCTCCCAAACATGACTGGTAGGGTCACACAGTCACTTTTTAACTTGTGATTAACAAAGCCCAGCTCTTAACCCAATGCAACACCATGCCTCCTTATTTGTAGGTACAGGGGCTAGGATTTCAACATATTATGTTCTAGTGAGGTCATGTTCACAGATACCTGGAGTTAGGATTTCTGCATCTCTTTTAGGGTGACACAATTCAATCCATAACAACCCCTTTATTATGGGCCATTGGTGGGCTGTGGACTCTCAGATACCTTGAGCCCAAGGTCAGTCCTGGGATGAAGGTCGCAGGCTTAGAGTTATAAGAACAACAAATGGGTAACATTCATTGTTACCCCAAGAGCCAGTAACACCTGTAAAAATGGTGTGGGGGTGGCATTTGACCTCTAACTTCACAAGGGGGCAAGAAGGGACTCGTGATCATCATCAGCTCAATGTTGGTTCCTGTGAGGTGGAGGTCAGACATGCCTCCACTCTCCAACCTCTTTACCAATTCTGACACGAGCTGGTCCCTTGCACAGCACTCTCTCCTGGGTTCCATAATCTGTTGCATTGGCCACACAGAACTCAGAGCATGCTCACAATGTTCAGGTTCATTAGGGAAGCTCAGAATCAGAACATCCTCTTTCCAACCATGCTCACAAGCAGACCTCTCTCCAGTTCTTAACCTCCTCGCCTCTGCCCTGCTTGGACAAGTGTTACAAAGCTCTTTTCAGCTCTGCTGATAGATGAAGGCACTCCACTCTTCCAGCAAGTCTTTTCCAGAGGTGCTCATCTCTAGCTCTACGGGTCAGTAAATCTAGCTTCCCAAGCAATTACCTGGGAGGCATCACACTCCAGGAGCAAATGTCCTGCCTGAAGGCATTCCGCTTTCTTGCCCTGTGGGCTAGGAAACTCACTGTCTTGTGCTTTTGAGTGAGAAAGTTGTGTCTTCCAGAAGGAGACTTGCTAGCAAAGTGGGTTGCCTCTAGGCACTTAATTGGAGGAACTACATTTTCTGACCCTTGGAGCTAGAGTTAAGATCTTCAAGCTGAGACTTACTGGCAGAGGGGGTGTTAATTGGCAGACCTGCACTTGGCCAAGCAGGGGAGGGTCCAAGGAGTCTATTGCCACTACTTCTATGCTGTCACAGATCCCTGCTTCCTGGATCAAGGAGGTACAGCGCATGGGGATCTGAGAGTCCAAAGGACATGCTCCACTCCTGGTTCTTTCTTGATGGTAGTGAGTTCCTCTTTTCTACTTCGGAGGTGGCTCATTTTAAACCTAGTGGGATGGCAAAACTGACCAATCTTCATGTTAGGGTTCCAAGCACATCATTTGTATGGTTCCACCCCATATACATGTAAGAGATGGACAATGAATAGAGAGGACTGTACAAAAACCGACCGATACATTTGAATTATAGTGTTGGCAAAGAATGTTCAAAGTATCATGGAGAGGAAGAACAAAGCAGATGGGAGAACAATTAGACAGGTCTCAATGGGCTAAGTGAGACAGAGGTAAATAATGATATATG